CTTATGTGAAAAGGCCCACAGCATAGTTGGTCAACCTCAAAATGAACAAATTAAAGAAAAATACCCTTTACAAAAACTAAAGTAAGTGTTCTCAGGAAGAAGAGGTAGAAGACATGACAAATTAATATACCTATGTATATTAATATTTCTTTTAACATGTAGTAAATACCTTAAGCTGTTTAGCTAAACTTACAGTAGCTGAAGAAAGGGCGTTTTACATTTAATGATGAACAGAAAGTGTTGCAATACTTAAAGGAACAGCAGCAGAACCAGCAGACGCCTCTCAGAATTTAGGATTCAGCCTTCCCCAAATCTTCTACAGACAAGCCAAATTTACGGTGAGGACTGCACTCATAATTCATATTGGAGTCATAATAAAAAACATAGAAACAACTGAATGACTGATCTGTAAATTACTGTCATTGACTGTGGCTTGTCTAAGGCTCTGCTCAGACATGAACTTTTTTAAAATGTCCTTCAGCACTGTAACAGCAAATATGTTACTTCTAATTCAGGGCTCCATGCCAGGCAGTCTTGTGTGTTATTAATTCTTGGGAACAAACATGCTTGCCTTCTGTTTTCATTTCCTGACATTAATGGATATCATTTGTAGTACAATTATAAGCACAGCTACCCATTTGGACCCACTCAACATATACCCCAACAAAATGACTGACATCAGAAAAGATCTGCTTCCTAAAATCCTTGAAGCAAACAGACACACAACTTTTGTGAAATTTGACTGACCATGCTCATAAAGTAGTATAACATGCTCCAGAGGCTCTGATGAAGGAGCTCTCCCTAGCAAAGGGATCTGACCCTGCAGGCAACAGAAGAATGTCCTTGTGACTGGCACATCAGCCCAGTGTGACTAGCCCTTACTGAGCGCCTTACTGAGTGCCCCTGCTTCCAAATCTATTTTCATTACCCCAGAATCCAAGAGGCACCAGTTAGAATAAAAATGGGGAGAACATGGTGAGTCCTAGATCTAGTATATGACCTTCTAGATATCAGATGGAAAACAGATCTAGGATAAATGGACCTGGAGATTTCCGGAAGGCCCATCCTAGGTGCATAGAACAGGTGTTAAGGCAAGGGATCATTTTGTTGTTACTTTGAAAAGAATCAGAACTTTTAGGGAAGTGCTTGCACCCTTTGCAAACCAGAGAGATCAAGGTTTGTTACTGAATATCAAACCCATTATTCCAAAAGAAGAAACTTGTTTCCACTCATTTCTGCCTTCCTCTTCAGAACATGTTGATAATGGCACAGTCTCATTTTTAGACTTGGGGCATTTTGTACTATGACACTTCTAAAGCAAACATTATTTGTCATACATACAGATTTTTTTTAATCTTAGCTGAAGTGCTCTTTAGTGATGTGTCCAAACAGAAGAAAACTGAACCAGTAAGACAGTTGGGATAGCGCTAATGAAGTTTCCGCAAAATCATCCAGTAATAATGAACAAATTAATTACCTCCATTGAAAATTTCAGGGTGCAGTGGCTGTTGACCAGTCTAGCTAAAATAAAGTCAAGCTATAATTTACACAAAAATTTGCCTGAAATCAAAGAATACTTCACTGTCAAAGATCATAACTTGTCCATTTACCTTACAGCTTCACACTACTGCTACATCTTTCCTAGAGATAGGACAAAGTCTACAGAAGAGAAGATGACCCAAGTAGCTGCTTTCATGACTGCACTTGAAGGCAGGTAAACTGCTCTCTGCTAGGTCATCTGTCCTTTAAATGTAACACAAAATCAACCATATCATTTGCCTATTACTAGCTGTTCTCCAGACACAGTTTTATATTACACCCTGAGCTGTTTCATGTGCATATACGCAAGTCATAATGGGCTTGTAAAATAATGGTTGAAAACACTGATTCAAGTACTCACAAGCTCACACGGGTAGTCCAATCACTTGCATCCCCCTGCAAGTTCTCAGAGGAGAAGTCTTATAATATTTCACCCAGCTTTCTCAACTTTTGTACTATTAAAACTATGCCTAAACCTCACCAAAATACAGCTTTCTCCCACCTTGTTCCTATTCAGCCCTAAACTGCCACAACTTGTCATATGCATTCACTAATTCCCTGCTATTCTTTCTCTCATCCTGATCTAGAAAAAAAATAGGTCCTATTTTATACATTTTACCCTGAATGTTCACAGGATGGAAACTACTAAGAGCACACTGAGGATATTTCTGGAGAAAAGTAGCTCCTGTCACTAAAATTTTCTTTCTGTTTTTTTCTAGCACAAGGAGTGCAGTAATCCTTTTAAAGTATATAATCTATAGCAATCAAAAATAGTATTTAAATTAGTATTTAAATGTTAAGATGCTAATTCTTTTTAGAAGAGGCTTTTAAAGTCAGTGTTATGGAGCAATGTGGGGCTTAGATTCTGATCACCAAACTTCAAAAGTGCCTCAGAGGAGGCAATTTCTCAGCAAATACCAGCAGCAAGAAGTTATGAATGTCCAAATGAAATCAAAATGTACATGCTTATTTCACCCCATTCAGCAAGTGCTTCCTCCCTTCTGAATACCTAAGCTCCAAAAGAATTTGACTCTTAAGACAGTTTAGCTCTCAGCAAGAATGCTAATTTTCTTGGACTCAACCCTAAACTTTGTAATATGATACAAGTCTTCAGTTGAAATGGTTAGGATTGTTATAGTTGTGGCTCTTTAAAAAGATCAGTGGTTTAATGGGAAAAAAAATCACGGTAATTTTGTGTCCAGTATCATCACAGGAGTACAGGAAAATTAATGTAGTATGTCTCTAAGCTAGAACTGTAACACAAAACAACTGAACTAATGAATTCATCATCGTGCTGGATTAAACCACAATTATAAATGGTGAATAGTTATCATGCACAAAATTACATATGATATGACATTGGACTACCAACTGCTGTGATGCAGAACAAATACTCCTTTATATGATTGATGTGGTACATAAAATAACCTGTCCATCTATACTCCTAATTTAGTTCACTGAAACACAATCACATGAGAATTACTTTGTTTCACCAAATCATTAACACTTGTCAGAGATCTGCCAAGTCACTCTAAGAGTAACAAACTATGACCTTGTCCTTCTTGGCATACTACAGAATTACTAATGTTGATAGGGGATTGGGAAAGAACCAATTGTTAAACTCCAATGCTGTATTCTCCAATTCTGTATTTTTCTCCATGAAGAATGGTGGGCATCTTCTTTGTGCTCAATCTCTCAAGTGAAAATTTAGACATGAAGGTAGTAAAAGCTACTTTAAGAGTTTCAGTAACACACCAATGACAGAACAAATCCCATCCTTGAACATGTAGATAGGAAGAACAGATCTGGATTAATATATCTGAAAATGCAAACTGGATCAGAACACTGTGATCTCAGCCCCTCCACCACCACAACAAAGACCTCTGTCCCAGAGTTGCAGGGTTCCTCTGATGTGCTTTCAAATAACTTGCTAAAAAAGACCCAAAACCAGGTACAATTTAAGTTCAAACAAGACAAACATTTTCATTATTGCGAACAATATTAAGGCTGTCCAAGGCCCAACAAATCTGTTATTCAGTAGCTGCAGAAACAGGTGTGAGTCTGCATATTCAGAACTTTCCTCAGATGTCCCAAGAAGTAGGCACTCACAGTCTCATCACCACAGCTGAATTTATGAAGTGCCATGCAATACCCAATCCCTTTTGTTACAGCAAGAGAGCAATCAAAGCAAAAATTTATCTTCTGTATTTTGAAAGGGACTGATCCTAGCCCCCTATTCCCAAAGTGGTTTTTTTGGTAGGAGTTGGGAACATGAGCACTTTGCTGATCACGATGTCCTTCAGTTACAGCAGTTTGTATGAGAGTTTATCTTTTTTATTTCAACATAATTAGGCAGAAGTATTTGTCTCCTCTCCTTCCTCCCCCATGCTCTTTCTGTCTATTTCTAAACCTGAACTAATTTTGTGGCAATTTTTTTTTGAGATATGGTTAAACTGTTTGAATGGCAGATGTTTTAGTATTGAGCGATGTAGATGATACCATTTTCTACAAACACTGCTTAAAAAAACAAACAACTTTCCTCATTTAAATGAATACAAGTGACCATATCATTCCACTTTGGAAAATGAACATTAGAGATGAAGCAATTCTGATCAAGTTAACACTTGATCAAGTGAACATTTCAGAGACCTGGCACAGTGGGACTGTGGGAAAAAGAGAACTAGCACTGTATTTTGAGAAGCAGTTGACTATTATAGCCTCTTCCAAAAAAGTTGTCAAAGCCTCACAAGGAAGGACGAAGGACTTTGGTTTCACCGCAATTGAAATGGTGAGTATGACCAAATCTGCAGTTTGCCAGGCATTTCTCTTTAAACTTGCCCCTTGCTCTTACCCATAGGTCAATACAACTGCTTTTACTACCATTCACTCAGTCAAGTGGGGAACTGATTGGAGCTAAACAAGCTTTTTAGGGATGGTTATCTTTTTTAGCTTGAATCAGTTCCAGAATTGGCCATGTGCTGAGTGGCACTGACATGAGGTAGGGCATGATGCCTGTGGACCTAGTTAAGCTGGAAAGTTTGACCAAAAGAAGCATTCTTCCAGTTCAATGCTAAGCAAATGGAGAGGGAGGTTTGAAATCCAAGTCTCAGCATACAAGTTCTGCTGGGAAGCATTCAACTCACTTGCAAACAGGAGCATCTGAGGGTTGTGATCTTTGCATGTTTTCTCCCAGTGGTGGTGAAGGGATGAGATACTGACAATTTTATTTAAACATGTATTTCTTCTCTGTGAATAAACTTACATCTTGCTTTAGATTCCTCCTCCCACAAGCCACTTCACTTTCTTGTCTCACATTAATAAAAAAAAAAATTACATAGACTTTGCATGTAAAAAGGTGACTTAAAAATGCAAAAAGGCTCAACATTCCCTCCCCAAATCCTTTGGAGAATGAGTAATTTTCATGACTTCAAAAAGGCAAATATGGCACAAAAGAATGGAAATTAAGTTAAAAAAAAGAATTTTATAAATATTCTTCCTCTGTACAATTTTTCACAGCCCCATCCCTCCCACCCATTTTTATTCACATTTCTTCTTTTAATTCCCACCCTGATTTATTTTTAAATCATAAAATATATATTTTAAATCTGTTCATATTTTAAAATATTTACAGGAAAAGTTCCTTCTGTTGAGGTCATGAGGAGTCTGTACAAGGAGAGGGTGGAGGGGGATAGAGGTGAAAATAGCTTCGTTCTGTGGCAGGAGACGGAGGGCAACTTTCTTCTGCTGACATGTACTGACTGCGAGGTGTGGGTGGAGGGGGATAAGGGTCTGAGTCTGAATTTAAATCTATATAGTATTTGTTGGCCTTCCATCGACTAGTAGTATAGTCACTGTCACACACATCTGTGCTGCATGGGGTTGTGGGTGGAGCTATCCCTCGTATAAGGTATGGCCTGAAAAAAAAAAAAAAAAGCACATGCATTGGTTGCAATTTGGGGAAAAAGAAAGAAAGAGATTGAAAATGAACAGCTCTGTGTCCTCAGCCAAGATGCCTGCTCATTCATACTATGTGAGCCTTAATTCAGGTTTTCATAGGAACCGAACAAGAAGTACCTGAACTGTGTTAAATTTGAATGGCAGAACTACTCTCAGCCAGCAGTGCATTCTTGCAGCCCCTGACCACACAGAGGAGACCACCATGACCGTTTAACCCAGTCATTAACAAATAGGTTGACTCATCAAAGAGTTTTAAGATAAGCTTGAGGAACTGAACAGAAAACACCAATGTTCTCTATACAGGATGCTAAGTGACTGTTACATAGCAATATAATCTACATATATTGCATTATTACTCAGCAACACTGTATTGAAAAATGCTACACCCTGTTGTGTCAAAATAAGAACACAAAGCCAATGTTTAACATCAACACTGGCATAACCTCCATTTGAATGGTCACTTATTAAGAGAGGGAAAGGTTTTTTTGAACAAGGTACAGTCTGAACAAGAACATTTTGCTTAAGATCCAGAACTAAAGGACAGATCAATAGAAGATTTATCAAACCTTTTTATCTGAGCTGTACCTGTAAGAAGATCTCGTGGTTGAAGGAATGTTTGAGGAATAGAACATCTCTGCATTATACAAGGAGCGATCAGTAGCTGGGGAAGGAGGTGGGTTCAAGATCTAGGAAAAATAGGAAAAAGCAGTGCAAAAGTTTGGGTTAATTATACAACTCCACTTGTTTTGAAAATATTTATGTCTTCACCCTGTCACTCATCCTTCTTTTAGTTTTCTCTCCTTGCTGCTTGGGTGGGTTAATGCATTCTTAAAGACCACAGAAGTTAATTACGAGACTTTACTCTGGGCTTAGGTACACTGCAGGCCTTCAAAGTTCTCAAGAGTACAGGGAATTTACTTCCTTGCCACATGCGTTATTATGCTGGAAGGCTGGGGTAAAGTTGGAAATTAAACCTAGTTTTGCAGAATCTCTGTGCAATTCCTTGGACATAAGGACTGGTATCGTCAGCAGATGCTAATGGGAAACAAAGTCTGTTGCACTCCCAGCCCCTAAACATATCCCCAGTCAATAGTGGGGTCAGGAGGACAAGTTCCTTTACTAAAATTAATCAACTCCATTCTTCCCTTAAAACTTCCTTTTTACTGCTGTTCTGTAAGCATATCATTTTGGCAGTTCACAATGCAATGAGTTGAAGAGCTAAAAAATAGTTATAGCCTGCCCTACCCTTCGTGTGCATATACACGGTTGCTGGTAACCCTCACGCTAGGAAAACAGTTTATTATGCTTCAGAATCCTTTAGGATTCTT